ACACCTCCTCCACGTTAACACATGGGACCAAACTAAAGAAATCACAGAAGCACAGTCTCTGGGTGTAAATGACGTCATCAGTTCAAGATGGCAGCGTTTGTATCGGAGATATTTTGACACTTGTTGCGTTTAATGTTACAAAAAATGTGCGTTTTAACGGTTTGATTTATCCTGTGAATTAAAAACACGATGAACAGCCGAGTTGATCTGCAGCAGATAAATATTTAACAATAATTTATAACGTTAACGTCCATCACAGCAGATTTAACATCATCTTCTCCTTTTAAACGTGCTGCGACTAAACCAACACAACGAGTCGGACAACAACAACAAGAGAGTGGATAAAAGAGAGAACCAGGTAAAAAGAAAAGAAAGAATAAAGTCAAACGACATCAAGAAAGAAAGAGACATAAACGGGTGGAGGTGTAATCAGGCCTCAGGCTGTTCCTTCTCAATTACAACCTCCCACACTGCTCAGTGTGTCTATATAAAGACATGTACATCTCTCACTGTACATGTGTGTGTGTGTGTGTGTGTCTTGCCGCAGTGCCACATCTCTCTCCTCCCACTCTGAAGCTAAAAGCAAACGCAGCGGCTCTCATTACACACACTGAGAGTCCAATCAATACTGTGAGGCCTCTGGGGCCCACACTGTGTGTGTGTGTGTGTGTCTGTGTGTGTGTGTGTGTGTGTGTGTGTGTGTGTGTGTGTGTGTTGTTAGCACTCAGCTATAACTTAAGTCTGTTTAAGGCGGTGAGTGTAAAGTTTGGCAACAGAGAAACAAACAATGAACAACAGCACGACACTGGAGAAGATAATACAGTGATGCATTCACTGTCCTCTCCATGATGCATTCACTGTCCTCTCCATGATGCATTCACTGTCCTCTCTATGATGCATTCACTGTCCTCTCTATGATGCATTCACTGTCCTCTCCATGATGAGTTTAATGTCCTCCCTGATGCTGTGTTGTTCTTTGTTCCCTCTCGTGTTGCAGTTTTACTCCGATGATGCGTTTGTAGTCTTTACTTTCTTCTCTCATGTTGCGTTCACTGTCGGCCCTGGCGTGTTGCCTTTACTGTCTCCCCCTGTGATGCGTTTCTCCTGGGATGGTGTGTTCACTGTACTGTAGTGATGCATTCACTGTCTTTTTTTAGTGACATTTTTAATGTCCCCTGGTGTTTCCTTCAGGAGGCGTGTTGTCAGAGGTGTCGTTGGTTTCTGTGTGAAGACAAAGTGACGGTTCCTGTCATTTCACACACACACACACACACACACACACACACACACACACACACACACACAGAGTCTATATTTAGTCGACTGCTGCAGAAGAAAACTCGTGAATTTTTTAAACTCTGTAGCTCAACTTACCCATCATCCCTCTCTCTCTCTCTGTCAGGGATGTTGGGATCACCGTGGTAACCCTCTGGTTTCCCGGGGCGATTAGAGAGCCCCGTTACATCATCGTCCTCTCACACGTCCGTCCTTTCTGTACGTGTGAAGACGCTCGCTGATGCGTCCATGACCCTAAATCTGTTGTTAAATATGTCGATGGACAGGAAGTGAAGGTAACGGGTCCTGGAACCATTTTTAATTCTATTTTTTTGTGTTTACGACTCATGAGGCGACGTCAAAGACGCAGGAGCGTTTTGTTTCCTGATGTTTTCCTTTCGGGAAAAGACGACGTTAAGTTAACATGGAGGAGAAAACCGGAGAAAAGACGAACACCTGAAACTTCACAGCTCGAAGAAACCAAAATAAGACTTTTCAGTGCTGTAAGCCCCGCCCCAAAGATGGACGAGGTCTTCGGGGGCCTGAAATCCTGTGTCCTCTGGAATGACCAGCAGAGGGCGAGTTTCACACGGTGAAGCGGACGTCCGGTCTCTGGAGGAATTCTGTGATTAGAACTCGTTCAGTCCTTACGCTGTCGCCTAGCAACAGAGCTGAAGCTAAACATGACAAGAAAAATAAACAAATATAAAAACTACGTGTAAAATATGAGCAGTATGAGAATATGTAGTAAATGTACACGAACCAACGTGTTGCAGACGCATGAACAACCTGAAAAACACAATGAATCCTGGGATACGTTGTCCTGAGTAGGTCTCCCCCCCCCCTCACCCTTCACCTCCTCCCATAGTTTTCTTCTGCCTCTCCGTCTGATAGTTACACCTCCCCGCTCCTCCTCCTCTCATTTTAACTCCATCCTTCTCTCTTTTCATCTCCTCTTTCCTCTCACCTCCTCCTCTCCTCTGCCCTTTAACCTCCCCCCTCATCCTTTTCTTTTTCCATTCCCCCCCGTTCTCCTCTTTCTGTCCCCTCTTTTCAACCCCTCCTTCCATTTCTCTCCTCCCTCCTCTCAGATTTCTTCTTCCTCTCGTTTTTTTCCACTTGTCACTAAATGATCAAAGTTTGATTCCTTCATCTGATTGAGTTATGAAAGACAGACAGGTGGATGGACAGAGACAGAGAGACAGACAGATGGACAGACAGACCAATGGATGGATAAACAGACAGACAGATAAAGACAGAGATAGAGAGAAAGACAGATGGACAGACAAAAAGAAAGACGGCCTCCTTCCCTCTGAGACGTTAATTTTAATTAAAACGAGCTCATCACTTCCTTCCCTTCAATTAACCCTCGGCTCCAGCCAATCAGACGCTATCTCGTTAAGGCGGACCCCGTCAGCGGCGGGCGGTCACCTCTCTTAATCCGTCTACCTCTGTGGGACAGGAAGTGCCCAACAGCTAATTAGCACTGAGCGAGGCGGCGTCTCCCCCGCTGACGGACCCAAACTCGACCTCCATCACCAGAGTTTCCTTCTGAAAAAACAAAACCCAGAGAGGATTGTGGGAAGGATGGACGAGGTGAAGTTTGTTTCATTACGAGTTTCTGCAGAAGTTTCAACGAAACTAAAAAACCAAACCTCATTCAGATTTTATCAGATTTAAGAGTTAACTTCATCGAACTGAAACTAAACTGAAATCCTCTCACCTCCCTGTGTGTTGTCCAGGACATAGACTTATCCCAACGTAAGACATTTTCTGTCCCTTTAAATTACATATATGTTACATGTTCCAGGAAGTAGCTTGTTACAGACGCAGGAAAATCGCTGAATTTTCATAATGAAAACATGAAATGGATGAAAACAAATGAAAACAAGGGAATAAAACTAAGACGCAAATTTATCTTTTAATTATTTCACTTCATTTTAATGCAAAATGATTTATTTTAAATATTCTTTATAATTAAAAGCTTCACATCTGCAGATTAAACATATTTTAAATTATCTCTTGATAAAGAAACGATCAGTTCATGTGATTAAGATGAAAAAAAAACAGACACGTCAACGTCTTAGACGACATTTTATATTTTCTCATCATTAAGAATAATTAGCGTCATCAGTTTCATAAATAGATCAGCTGATACAGTTAGAAGTCATGTGACAGCGTTTACATTATATACAGATTCCAGCTGTTACACACAATACAACAGAGCAACAGGCGGAGTCACTGCCCAGCACATAGACTGATCCCATTCAGTCAGAGCAGTGAAGACCCAGAGAGAGATTCAGTTTGTTTTCAGTGCAGCTCGACCACTTTCTGATTTTACGATGTTGAATATTTACATGAAACATTTAATTTTTCAGACCAAAATCAAAGAATGCAACTTTTTTAATTTCTTTAAATGTTTCCAGTTAATTTGTGAATCAAATGTTTAAAGCTGCGACGACAACAATTTGTTTTCACAATGAGTCTCCACAAACAGATACAGGCGTAATGCCCAGGACATAGTCTGAGCCGGGTCAGCAGAAGCCAGTCTGATCCAGGACATAGTCTGGGGCCATGTAGCAAACATAAAACTTAAACAGGCAAAAAAAACAAAAAAAAAACAACAACAACTAAAAAATTAATGTTCCAGAGTCAGAGAATAAAAACTGGAGCGACAGGAAGTGTTTGTCATTTTTAAAGTTCAAGTTCAGTTGTTAAAAAAAAAAACACAGATTTAAAGTTAGAGTCAAAATAATAAGTTGCTTCAAGCAGGAAGTAGACGCAGCCCGACGGGGGAAAATCTAGAAAAACATCCACGGCCGAGAGTTTGAATCTTTTTCTGCAACATTTGGTGTCAAGATGGAAACAAACACAGAAAGTGCAAGATGAGTTAGAGTTCATGTAATTCAAGGCAAAGACACGAGCTCACAGACACAGACAGTCGTTGAGTTTTCACCGAGACGTTTTGAATCTCAGACAGAAGAGAATCTGACAACTAACCATCAACTATCCTACGACACTCAATGATCCAGTAATTAGACTGATCCAACTTTTATGTTTCTTCGAATTTGGATATTTTGTTTTAAAAACACGAGAAACGATTTTTCTTGTTTTAAATGAATCGATAAATTCATTGATGAGATTTTGAGAGAGAGAGGAGCCATTTTACATCCCAGCACGTTAGAAGAGAAATAAATAAGAGGGGGAAGCAAAATGGCTTCACGAGCGTCTGTGTGCAAGAGTCCAGGAAGTAGCCACAGCCTCACACATAGAGGAGCTGCTTTCAGAGATGAACTGGCCACCATCGCTTTCAGTGGTTAGAGGTGAAATCAGCTGAGTCATGTTTCTGTCGGAACAAAACGATCGTCTGAAACTCAGAAACATCTCGACTGAGTGTGTGTGTGTGTGTGTGTGAGTGTGTGTGAGTGTGTGTGTGTGTGTGTAAGCTGCGTGCATTGCTGTAGCCCAGGACATAGTCACATGCAAAACTAAACCTGAACTCCAGCTTCTCTTGATCTTTCAGCCTCATCTCATGTTCTTCTTCATGTGATGTCATTGGTTTCATCACGATCACATGACCCACACATGAAACTTTCCATGTCTCACATGTGACTCAATGAAACCTGCTGTTGAAGCTCGTGAGCTGCGGCCGAAAGAGGAACGAACCACTTCAGATATGTTCTAAGTCGATCCAGGACATAGACTGACCCCAGGTTTTTCAAGTAAAGTGTAAAGATTTTTTTTTACAGGAATCCCAGGAAATAGCCAGATCACAACAGAGTTACTGCACAATGAAAACAATAACATGATTCAGTCAGTTGCGATATCAGGCTGCCAGAACATAGCCAGGACCCAAGAGACAGAAGAAACCAGGTAAAGCAAAAACGTGCAGTCAGTTACAATGTGGTTTCCAGGTCATAGCCAGGGCTCGACAGAGTGGTGCAGTCTAATTACAGTACATTCAACGGCAACATAAATGAGCTGAACCCAACGCGTCTTGTTTCCATTCCCTCTGTGTCTTTAGTTTCTTACTGTTCTCTCTCTTCATTGAGACACATAAACACATTCCAGCATTTAGTCATGGCCCAACAGACTGAGGTGTTTACTTGTTCGCCTAACAGCTCCAGTAAGTAGTCCGAGCCCACAGCAGTTCTGAGACTCGGGATTGGGAAAGAAAGAAATGCTGGTCCCAGGTGTTAGTCTGAGCCCAGCCCACACCTTGAAGAGCAACAGCATTGAGAGGAAAGGGAACAGACGGGTAGATTCAGGCGATAGTCTCATCCCGACCCAGCTGCACCACCTCCAGGACTGCTCTCTTTACTGAGACGGACTAATTCCTGGGACAAAACCTCCAGGTCCTGCAGAGAGACGATCAATAAGAATCAATAACGATCGTTTATTGTATTTAGATTTAGCCACCGACAGTTTTCAGACTTTTACATTACAACAGTTTATGTTGTAATGTAATTATGCCCTCGTACATTTATTCCATCTGTCTGTTTATAAATACGTGAATAGTGAGGGAGGCGGAGCTGCAGGTGAGCGAGCGTTACCTTCTGCAGGTGCATGTTCTTGGTCAGTTGTTCCTCCAACATGTTCTGCAGCTTCTTGTTCATCTCTCTCAGATTCTCGTCTCCTGGCTTCACCAGGTCTCTGAGGACAGAGCCCAGACCTCCTCTGTCTCCCTGAGAGCCTCCGTGAGCGCCGATGGCGCCGCCCGACACATCTGATTGGACGAGGACACGAGGAGGTAGAGTCAACAGAGGGACAGTTGTGATAATAAAACTGCAGCTGATTCACTTTAACACCTTTTATGGTCGTTTTTTAACGTCGCTCTGAGACGTTTAAAGATTCTTCACGCGGTTAACGCTCCGCAGCGAAAACACCCGGAACACTTACGAAGTTCTGCGACACGCAAGAGAACTGAAACACAACGATCGATCAGAGTTTATTGTCCTCGTGGATTCATGAGGCGTCCGATCACACGCAGCTCTGAGGTCGTTCACACCGACATGTGATCGAACATCACTTCCTGATCTGGCAGCTGTTTGTTGTTAAACACTGCAGAGGTCAAAGGTCAGAGGTTGAAGGTCAGAGGTCAAAGGTTGATACAGAAACTTTCTGTTAAAGTCTCCTCCTCCTTCATCTCCTCCTCCATCCTCCCTCCCACCACCATCATCCTCTAGTCCTCTCGTTTCCATCCCTTCTTCTCTCCTTCTCGTTCATCCTCCTTTTACCCACCCTCTCCTGTCTCCCTCCTTCATCCTCTTCATCCACTTGTGCTCCATTCCTTCTTCTCCGTCTCTCTCATCTATCCTCTCTCCCTCCTCCACCATCTACTGTCCTCCCCCCTCATCCCCTCCATCAACTCCTCTCCTCCCCTCCAGCATCCGGTCTCCTCCTCTCTCCTCTCCTCCTCCATCATCTTTCCTCTATCTATTCTCCTCATCCCTGATCATCTCTTCAATTTCTTCATCCTCTCTCCCTCCTCCACCATCTCCTGTCCTCCGACCTCATCCTCTCCATTCTTTCTACCTCCAGTCTCCCCTCTCCTCCTCATCATCCTCCCCTCTTCCAATCCGTTCTCCTCCCATCATCCTCCCCTCTTCCATCTTTTCTTCTGTCCTCTCCTGTTTCCTCCTTTCCCAGTTTTTTTTCTCTCCTGCTGTTTTCAATTTCATGTTTGACTGGTTTAACTCCCTCCTTCTCTCCCTCCCTCCCTCTCCCCCTCCCTCATTAACACTGTAATAATGGTAAATCTAATGGGCAGTAAAACAGAACTGCTACAGATTCGGACTCACAGTGTGTGTGTGTGTGTGTGTGTGTGTGTGTGTGTGTGTGTGTGTGTGTCATTTACACATCGTTAGGACTGTGTCAGTCGCTGCTGACGGGTTGCTAGGCAACACTGTGGAGCAGTTGGAGGGTTGCTGCCTTGCTCCAGGGCACGTCAGCAGCTCCCGTTCACACTCGGAGTTAATCAGTTCTAATTTCTTGACTCAACAAAGCCTGATCGTCGTCTCCTCCCGTCCTCTCATCTTCTTCTTCTTCTCTTTTTCGCTCGTGTCTCAGTGAAAACCTGAACATTCCTCCTCTGCACACGAAGCAGATAGATTAAATTCTCAGTTGCTGTTTCAGCAGACTTCTCGTTGAGTCTGAGGAGCGTTCAGCTCCAGCAGACGATGTTTACTGTCAGCGGAGAGCGAACATCCCATTCATCATTTCATTATGTGGCCAGAAGTATGTGGACAGCTGATCTAACCGCCTCGCGTTGAAGCTGCTGCAGTGATTTGTTCATTCAGACACGTCTGAGCGTCCACACAACTCTGTGTGTGTGAGTGTGTGTGTGTGTGTGTGTGTGTGAGTGTGTGTGTGAGTGTGTTACCTATACGGCTGTCCATCACATATGTCTCTATGATGGCACTCTTCCTGCAGATGTCCTCCGCCATCGACGAACAGCTCACCTCCAGATGTTTCACCTGAAGACGAACAGACAAAAGAACGACTGATGAGCTACAAATCAATTTATCATCTATCTGACAATTTAGTCTGTAGAGATGTTTAGTTTTTTTCATTTCGGAGTTCACCTTCTCCTCCAGCATCCACTTCTCCTGCTGAACCTCAGCGAGACGCTGGAACAACTCTCCGACCTCGTCGTCAGATAATTCAGCCGGACGCTGGGACTGAGGACTTCCTCCTCCGGACTGAGAGACGACATCGGTTAACGTTAACAGAGACACAGGACGTTAAACATCATGTTGTCATGACAACAGAATTACGACCCTGATAAGTGTGATGATGTGAAGAGGTTTGACACGTGTGGTTAAATAAAATGATGATAACCACAAATTAAACACGTATCATTGTCTTAATCATGACGTTATCTGTCACGTTCTCTGACCCGTGTGACGGAGAGATGTGGATCTGCTCAGCTTTAAAATATCTGTGGCGTCCGTGGACACGAAGGTCGAGCTGTTGTCACCGTGGAAACTAAAAATGCTTCATACTAAGCTCCATCCCACCGTGACGTCACTGAGCTGTTGTTTTGAAGCCTTCACTTCGGCGCCATCTCGGTTTTTTTAAACCAGAAGAAACCACATTTGGAGGGGTGGGGGGGTGGAGCCTGACTGAGAGTCTGAGGACACTGCAAACTGAGTCTGAGGAGATTTAAACTCAGCTCCGTCTCGTCACGCCCTCCCTGAGTCATGTGATGCTGTTGCTAATGACGACCAAACTGCCACAGTGCACTGAGTTGACGCTGGACTCTGTAGATTCACGTTTTGACAGTTACATAAACCAAAGCTGTCAGCTCTATTTACAGTGTTTCTATCAATAGGAACACGAACACACACACACACACACACACACACACACACTAAAGGATTCAAAAATAGCTGCAGAGAAATTTCAAAGTAATAAAATAATAAAGCATTTAGATCTATTATCTGATGCGGTGACAGAGAAGAGGAGGATGATGGGAAATTACAGTTCAGCCTCTTCCGTCACCACGTCACCGTGGTAACAGCTGGGTGGAGGGAACGCACGACGTTGGTGATGCTGATGGGAGTTTACAGGAGGCCGCACTGTTTCCACCAACCAATCACGCGCCAGTTTACTTCCATGTCTGTGCAGACTCATGTCGTGTGTGTGTTTTTTTTATTTTGCAGGATTCCCCAAAAACTACTGATCCGATTTACACTGATGACGTTTTGCGACGGGACGAGAAACTTTTTTTGTCACTTTCTCTAAAATGGTGAGATTGCATGCGCAGGGGTGTGTCCTCTCTGAGCCCCCTTCTCGTTAGCGTTTGAGTAACGGAGTTATGTCTGGAACACATTTTTGCAAACGTTCTGTTGTGTTTTACAGTTGGATTTTATCCTGCACTTTAGTTAATGAGTTAAGTAAAGGATCTAGACACTTGCTCCTTCACTGAAAGTCACCACAACACGACCAAACCGATCGAGGCAGTGGTGGAGCAGCTGCTCCAGAGTTCTGTGATGAGAATTTACTGTTTTGGTGCCGTTCAACATCAGCAATGTGTCTGTTTGTGTTGAAAGAAAAAAGATGTGACTCCTTCACTCGAAGCTCTGTTTCTGTAGAAATCAAACCATGTGTTCCTGCTCTGCTGTGGATGATTGATCTGTTTTATCACACTGCAGCAGCTGTTTTCTACTTGCAGGATTTTCTGTTCTGGCTCAGCAAAGATTTCAGGAATCAAAGGTTTCCTCCCGTTTCAATCATTTTTACCCAAAGACGTGAGGAAATAAAGCACATTAAAAAAAAATCACAGTTATCACTTCTCACAGTAAAATAAGCACTTTGATGACGCTCTGATCTGACTGCAGTTCCACCCACCTTGTTCTGACTGGTCGGCTGAGCCTCCTTCATCATGTCTCTGTAGGAGAAGGAGGAGACGGAGGACGAGTCTCCGGTCTGCTGAGTCCGACTGGGACTGTTGATCTCTGAGAGGACCAGTTCCTCCAGACCTGAGACACACCAAAGAAGAAGATTAGTAAAATACAAACATCCGTATTTATCTATTGGAGCGATGTATAGAGTCGGTGTCAGAGTCCTGAGTCAGGTGTTGGTATTTATTGGTTTGAATAAAAAAAAGCTTTTAAAGGCTGTTTCATATGTTTCACTGTGTCGGACCTTAGACTTTAAATCTTAAACCAGAGGTGTAAGAGTTTTAAAGGGATTGTCCCCTGGTTTGAAGGGATTATTGAGTCTGCTGTCTGTGACATCACGTCAGACTAATCTTTCACTCGAGTTCAAATATTTCATCTTGAGCAACTGAAGCGTGAATCACTCGAGAGGCCTGAGCGAGAGACGCACAATTCAGACACATTTTCTTCAAGCTAGTCGACCGTCCCTTTAAGGCAGTGGACCGTCCCTTTAAGGCAGTGGACCGTCCCTTTAAGGCAGGTGCTGGGAGCGGGCAGAGACATAAGTAGGCTACTTTAAAATGTCTGATTCTCAGGTTTGTGCAGAGGAGCCTTTTAAACATTCATCACCACTCATAGATTATATATGATGCTGAGGACTGCCCTGCTCCCTGTGTCTGTGTGTGTGTGTGTGTGTGTGTGTGTGTGTCTGTGTGTGTGTGTGTGTGTGTACATAAAAATGAGTAAAAACATTGTCTGAACAAGTCAAAAAAAAAGGAAAAAGACATTTAAAGGAGACCAACAGAAAGTGAGTGATTTTAAGTACAGGTGTGTGTTTGTGTGTTTGTTTGTATGTGTGTGTGTGTGTCTGTTGTTTGTGTGTGTTGCTGGCAGACGCCAGTGTGTCCACCTCAGCTCTGGGAATCAGAGCGCTGCATTAAATATTGAGCAGAAGGTTCCGGGCTGAGACAGAACCTCCTGACGCAGGGTTAGCACGCCGCTGATTATCGGACACATCGCTCACATAACAATCACATCTCAACCACTTAGGACACGGACACACACACAGTAGAGCAATTAAAGGGGAACACCCTCCAGTCAGAAGATTTAAACACTCTCTCTTTTAGTTTCAGAGTCACTTCAGGTTCTGCTTCATCGACAGTGAAACGATCAATAAGCTGCTGAGAAACACTGTTGTGTCTGTGCTGAGAACTTAACGTCTGTCATCTCGTGTTTTACAGTCTGAGTTCAGCACGATTCTGTCAGTGACAGAGAAAATCTAAATCTGAGAACAAGAACAAAAACAATTACAAGCAACAATTTATTGTTGTTGTTTTTAAAAAGCTCTTCAGAGATTTAAATCACTCGGCTGAGGCGATGGTGGGAAATGTTCATGACTTTGTGTTTGATATGAAATGTCCCCAGTTTCTTCTAGTTCATTAATATCTTTAAAAACCTCAATTAACCAAAAACACGTCACTGAACTGAATGTTTTGCTGAATGAGTTGTGATGTTGAGTCACAGAGGAGAAGGTAGTTTGTGTTTCAGGGGCTGAGAAGAACGTCTGGTTTCAGGAGTCTTCAGGTGGGAGCATGTGCATGTACCTGTCCTTGTCTTGCTGTTGGTCAGTATCTCCTGAAGTCGCTCCTGCAGTTTGTCCGCTCGCTTCCTCTCCAGCTGCAGCTGCCGCTTCAAATCCTTCAGCTACACACACACACACACACACACGCAGTCAGGGATTTACTTTCTAATTATCATTTTTCATGCACGCCTGCTCTTAAATTACTCTGCACATTATATTCTCTTCCTCTCATCTCTATTCAAATCCTCTAGTTTGTCTGTTCATGTGTCCGTCAGTCCAGACTCAGTCCGTCCGTCGTCTCTTCATCTTGTCTGATGACGTTATTATATCAACTCACCGCTGCACTTCCCTTCTTCTCTAAGATCCTCTGACCGTCCACAGTGTCCTTAATCTCCTGCAGAGTCAGAAACAAAGGGTTGAAGCAACACTCTGTAGTTTTTAAACCTTCAAATAACAGCTTCAAAATCATTTTGATGCTACACAAACTTATAACAGCGCCCCCTGGAGGCCTGAAACTACACCGTGTAACTCTGGTGTACTATGCTGGAACATTACAGCACGCTTTACGACACATGTCACACACCAACAACCAGAGCTGCTGCTAGTTATAAGACACAACGAGCTCGTCATTCTCAGTGTGGACGTGAACGTGGGAACAGATTTCACTCAACAGCGGAAGGTTGAGGACAGATGTCGACCTGGTGCTGTTGTTATTGGACAGGAAGTCAGAACTGTGGCTTGTTTGCTTTGCCTGGTTCTTTTCTGCTTGACGTGAAGTTGTGGCGGGAGCTATCAGTGTGGGCGGAGCCAGAATAACCAACAGCGTGCGTCAGACTCAGACACAGTTTTAATGACGAGAAGAAAACACATCAGCTGGCACCTGTTTGAGTTTTTCAATGGTGTCGCCGTGTTCTTCCCTCTGTTTCTCCACCTCCACCAGCTGCTGTTTCAGTCCGTCCATCTCCGACTGCTTCTCCTGCAGGAGACACACACACACACACACACGGTGAAACCAGGAGATAAACAATCTTTACAAACTCTGAGACAGTATTGTGTGACCCCCCCCCCCCCTCCTCAGAAACTTTTCTTCCATCGCTCTCTCTGCTCTCCTGGTGGACGGAGGTAAAATAAGTATTTCAAACAAGCTCCAGCTTCAGTGATACTCCGTCATCCTTAATCCATCTGACCGAGGGATTAATCTACAAAAAAACTGCTTTTAATTCTTCTCTAATCCTCAGCTGCTAATTAATACGACTCAAAATCTACATTAACACACACACACACACACACACAGAGAGAGAGAGGCAGCAGGTGTGTTCAGGTGAGCGGAGGATAAATTCTTCTTCTTTAGCTGAAAGAGTTATTTTCAGGTTTCTCTTCTTCCTGTTCAGTGATTCAGCTTCAAAGTCACGTATCTGCAAACTCACTGAGTTAAATCTGAGGTTCAAGAGCAAAGAGCTTTTATAATAATAAAATAATAGAATGACATTTAATATCTGCTTCATCGTCACATCTGCCGAAGTGGGAAGGTTTAACAGAGAAGGGGGGGGGGGGGTACAGCCCAGAATTATTTGTGAAGATTTTTCAGATGAAATAATGATTATAAAAGAAAGAAAAACAGCTGATGACAGGAGATAAAGTAGTAAACTGCTGATGAAACCATCGAGCTTCTAATCAGTGGACGACCGGCTCTACAACCCAACTCAACACCCAGGAAACGAGTGAAACTCGAACCCACAACACAGAGAACGCACCCAGTGGCCGACCTGCCCACTAATTAGACTTCTTCCATCATTAATTAACTTTTCCTATTAAGTTTCCTCTGTCTGCCCTTAGTACGAGGCTGTTATCACACAGATAACACGCACGCACGCACGCACACACACACACACGCACGCACGCACGCACACGTACACACACACACACACAGAGCAATCAGTGAAGTCGTTCTCGGAGGAACCATCCTTCTCCCTGAAGGATTTCAGAGGAGCACGAGAGAACGAGTCAGGCTGCTTATCTGATTGGCTGAAAGGACTCGTTACAGCAACGGTGACATTTCCCAAGATGCACGGCGGGTGCACAGACTCTAATGGTGACCGTGATAAGGGTTCGTTTTATCATCGTTGGAGCGAGAAGTGAGCCTCGGGAACGTGTAACTTTCACTGGGTTTCCACCACAGGAACCAGTGAGAGTCTGGTCTTAGTGGAAACACAGAACAGGAACCGTCTGAAGGAACCTTCAGTGTAAGAATACTGAATCATCTGATCGGTCACAGATTCATCATCTCTCAAAAACTGTCTGTTAACGAGCGTCGGTTTTCTAATCGAAGCCAAAAACGAGCCGAGGTGAAGTGAACTCCAACACGAGCCTCCTCCGCTCTGATCCCCTCTTAACACCAATTAACCTCCATGTTGCCATGGAGACAACTACACTTTCATTAGAAACACATGTTAAATTAGAGCTGGACCACGTTAATCACACACTCACACAGACCGTATCTATTAACACATCAAACCGGTGTGTGTGTGTGTGTGTGTGTGTGTGTACCTCCAGCTGAAGTGCGTGGTCTTTCCGCAGCTGTTTGATCTCCTCCTGATGTTCCAGCGAGTTCTTCTCGATGTTCTCCTGCTCGCACACACACAAAGACACACAGACAGTCGAAGGACAAAGTCAGATTAACGATGACATTAATAAATACAGACATAAGAACAGACGCACTGAGGTCAAAGTCTGTCCAGGCTAAGATCGAGTTTACCTCAAAGACCTGTCTCACACTGGTCTCACATGAATCACACTTGTTTCGGTGCAGCTACATGTTTGTGAAATCTGATCACGATTGATTGATTGTTTGGCAGCTCAGTCTCCACACCACGATCTCAGAGGTACAGGTATTTCACCCGTCAGCCTTTATCTCCGGCTGTCTGGAGATCTTCCAGGACGTTTCGCTCACACGGAAGTTATTTGAACTATGCACATTTTTGTTAGTTTTTGAGATTCACCCACCGCACATTATCACAAGAGGGTTTTTATTAGGCCTCACCGCTGCAGAAACAAGTTCTACAGGAAATAGTTTTTTACTTCAGATCGATGATAATGTTCTAATTTCGTTGGTAATTCTGTCAGTTCTTCAGAAAACTCTCCGGTTTTCGAGGAAGTTTTTATTCGGCACCTTAAGTCTGAATGGGTTCAGCTGCTGATTGGCTGATGTCACACTGACCTCGGCCTCCTTGAGTCGTCTCTCGAACCATCCTTTGGTTCCCTCCATGGACTGAACCTGAGCCTGTAGCTCCTCCACCTTCGGCTGAAGCCCCTCCAGCTCTTTGGCACGAGCCTGAAAACACAGACACAATTATTAATAATAATATTAATAATCAAAAGGTGGAAACACAGTGTAAAAAAACAACTTGCGCCTCTTCCTCCTGCCTTCCCCTATTTCCTCATTCCCTTCCTCCCCCCCTCCCCCCACAACATCTTTTCACTGCTCACCCTGAGAGACTTTAACTCCCCCCAACCAGCCATTCTTTTTCTTCCTCCCTCTTTTCTTTACCTTCTCATCTCTTAGCTGCTGTCTGATCTCCTCCTCGGAGCGATTCTTATCTTCATGGAGTCCTCTGAGCTCCTTCTCATAGCGAGCCCTCACCCCAAGAACCTGAGGAGGAGAAAAGAGGAGGAGGAGGAGGAGGAGAGAAAGACAGGAAAGTAGAGCACATGTCACATTTTAAAAACATAAATAAGATTACAAAAGAAAAGGAAACAAACTGAAACAGACGAGGAATAAATAAATAAACCAAAGATAAAAAGAAGAACAGAAACAAAACATGAAGGTGAGGAGCAGCTTCTCCCTCAGGGCTCGTTTAGTGTCCCACCTCCTTCTCGTGCTGCAGTTTGAGGTCTGACAGCGCCTCCTTGTGGTCGGACTTCTCCTGGTTCAGCTGAATGGCCATGTCATCCAACATGGACTTCCTCTTCTCTGCCGTCTGCACGTGCACGCATACACACACACACACACACACGATCATTAGTGTTTTTGAAATTTAACGTTTAATGTGTTTGTGTATCTTTGTATTCTGTGTGTGTGTGTGTGTGTGTGTGTGTGTGTGTGTGTGTGTGTGTGCACCTTCTTTGCCTCGTCCAGGTCTCTCTGCAGTTTCTCCTTCTCTTGTCCTTCTTCTGTTAACTGCTCCAACAACTTCCTGTTTGCAAAACTCGACTCCTGAAAGAAGAATTGAAACAAACAGAGAGTTTGACGACGTTTCAGTATAATTTCAATCTGTCTGCAGCGTCTCACGTTCAACACTGAACACACGGAGGTGTGGATGAAGATGACTGAGAATATCATATTCTCGAGGCTGAAATTGAAAATTGTTTTATTCTCTAACGTCCTCGTTTATAAAACCAAATCTGAAAAATCGCTCCAGCATTTAGACTGTGTGTGTTTGTGTGTGTTTGTGTGAGCACACGTGTGTATTACCTGCAGCTGGGAGTCCAGGTCGTCTCTCTGAGCTAACAGACTCTCCTGTTCAGCGCGTCTCTGCTGCAGCTCGCTCGTCAGCGCCTCCTGCTGCTCACGCATCAGATTCATCTCCTGCGTTTTCACCGTCTGGATCTAAACGCGATTCCAAAACTATATTTCAACATCAGTGCAGAACCACAGATTATAACTTGTTTGTTATGTTCTAAAGAGAAGGTGGAACAGTCGTCCTCAGGTGAAAAGACACCAGACGCCAAAACACTAAGGAAGAGATGTGTAAAGGACAATAAAGTAACAGCAGGGGGCGGTAGAGGACACAGAATGAATGTAGAGGCCAGTAGGTGGAAGTAGAGTCGTGTCTCTGCAATCAACACTCTCGAAGCCTTTTTACACGAAGCAGGTTCTGGTTCTCGCAACGATTTTCATCAGTTTGAAATGAATTTTGGTTTAATGGATAGAAACAAGAGTCCTGAGGAGCTCACGGGGTGGAGAAGAGTTCATCAGTGCAGCAGATGAAGATGAATGAGGCGGAGGATTCAGGGTTACTGTTAGGAACTGGGGTTCTGCATGAGGGTTCTCATTTGGGTCAGCATCAAGAAATGATCAACTAAAGAAGTGGTTTCTGTTTGAGTCCAGTTCCAGAAGTTATTATTGAATGTTCGATTCAGTTTTTAAATCCACACACAACTCAGTGTGAGGTTCTAAAGGTTCAACACATTCTTAATGGGGGTTCTAACAAGGTTCTAAATTAGCTTCACACCATCAATCTACAGGTTCTACACAAGGGTTCTAGGTGAAGCTGAAGATAAAGTTACCTGTTCAAAAGCACACAAGTCAGTCCTCAGAGCACTGTTCTCCTGTGAGACAGGTCATAGTCCCATACTGAGAACGGTACTGACTGAAGGGTCTTTATCATTCTGCAAATGTAAACTGGTTCTAGAAGAAGTGTTTCTGATGGTTCTCAGAACTACATTTTAACACTTAAATCAACTTTCACCCATCTGAACTGTTATCGAACCGATAAACTGAAGGTAGATCAGATGTTTGGGCTGTTATGAAACTGGAAAATGTTCTAGATGAGGGTTCTGTGAGCTCTGTATTAATATTTATGTTCTATAGTGTACTACTGCTACAACTAGGTTAGTCATCAGAGGTGGCGATGCATTAGGGTTCTGTGTAATGTAATCTAGGTTAATGACTCATTCTAACAGGTTGCTCCACTGAATAAGGTGCAACGTTCAAGATGAAGTTTTCCAGGTTAATTACCTGTTCTAGAGCTGCTAGGTTTGTCCTCAGAGCATCGTTCTCTTGGAGGATGTTGTCCACCTGCTCCTGACTGACTGCACTCTGATTGGCTACCTGTAGCACCAGCGAGCCACAGGCAGGGGGCAGCAGAGAGAGGGGAACAGGACGAAACGCACAGAAAAGAGAACCAGTGGAAGTGAAACAAAACAAAAAAAAAGCAAGAAAAACAAATAAGAGTCAAGAAAAAGAAGAAGAAAAGACGACATGACAAAGAAAAGAACCAAACAAAGGTCAAAGAAGAGGAAGAAGACAATGAAGAAGAGAGGAGGAGGTTGAGAGAAGAAGAGAGGAGGAGGTTGAGAGAAGAAGAGCAGGTCAGCGACGCAGATAAAGCAGCAGACAAACAAACACCAGATGATTCCTCTGCCAAAGTCAAATTGAAAAACTGATTTGTATTTTTCTTTCATATAAAAGTTTTCATAAGAAAATTAAATCTGTCCCATCGAGCTGCCTCGATGTTTTTAACAAAACCTTCAGCTCCTTTTTTTAAAGATTGATTCATTTTGGCAGAGAAATATTTTGATAGAGAAGAGACCGACAGAACGTCACTCAGATCCAAGACTACGCTACACAACTCTGTGTGTGTGTGTGTGTGTGTGTGTGTGTGTGTGTGTGTGTGTGTGTGTGTGTTACCTGGTCTCTCAGAGTATGCACAGCCAGTTCATGCTCCCTCTCTTTGCTCTGCAGCTGCTCTCTGAGCTCTGCTGACATCTAAACAAGAAATAAAAACTTTTAAAGGGCTGTGTGCGGTGTGGGATGAGGGGAGTGAAGTGTCACTGAGGTCTCACCTGATTGGCTGCCATGACGTCTGACTGTAGTTTCTGGATGCGGACGTTTAAGGTCTTCAGCTCCTCTTCTTTCCTCTGGTTGATCTCGTCGATCTTTGTCCTGCAGAGAACCAAACAACAACAGGTCGCAACAAACAAACAAAAAACAACAATCGTGGACATCACAGCCCGTCACTGCTGCAGTGACAGTTGTCATAGTAACGGTAGTAGTTAGTTTCCGACCTGCTGTCGTTGTACAGAGCCTCCTTTTCTCCCTGCAGACGCTGAAAACTGCACAAAGACATAAACAATCTGTTCACCAGTGGTTTTATTCACATCCTGGATAAAGTTCAGATTCAAACACTTTCACCACAGACTTAAATTATTTCTGAGAATCGATTCCAGAGACTTTCTTGATCAAATGGCTTCAGAATAAAAACTGACATGGAGCCTGCTGGCGTCCTGAGCTGGCTGTGATTGTTAAATGATATGAGTTCAAATCAATATCACAGTTATTATAACATTTACCTTGATTACAATTAATGAATGATTATTTGGGGAACGTAGATTCTAAATTGGTGAGACTCAGATCCAGTCTGTGACATTCTGATTATGTCAGTAAGATAATATATTATCAGAACGGATGAGAACGTCCCTGTGATCATCAGGACGAAAGAATCGGACCCAAAATCATTCTGACTATCCTCTAGTGTGGAGCCAACATCACTGTGAAGTTAAACTGAACTCACCTCTCCTGCTTCTTCTTCAACTTGTCAGAAAGCTGGAGGACAGAGAGACAGACAGACAAGAAGTCAGAATTCAAAGCTGCTATTCCCATAGTTCAATCAATCAATCAATTAACAGAGAGATGTTTACCTTTGTAATCTCTTCCTGCAGTTTGGTGATTTCAGTCTGTTTAGATGCCTGCAGACAGAAAGTTGATATACTTAGATTGAAGTGAATAACTGATTTGCAGTTCACAGATGTTCCCTGAACGTCTCACACTGATCTGCAGTTCACAGATGTTCCCTGAACAAACTGTATTTACTCATGTTTAGTGTTTTGTGGTGAGATGTGATAAACCTGAAACTTTACACAAACATATATTTACACTCTGAGTCCAAATGAAATTAAAACATCAACAACACAAACACAAGGTTCAATCTGAGGAAAGTATTTTGTATAAATGATTATTTCTCCTACAGACACACCAAAGTAATCACCTTCAGAATTTAAATATTTATTAAATACATGACTCCAGCTGCGTCATGTTTCACCCCCGACCACCGTCTCCATCACTGATGGACAGAACATTTGGAGAACATCTACGTTCTCCTGCTCAGTGTGTGCTGGGTCAGGTGTGTGTGTGCTGTGTCAGGTTGTGTGTCAGGTTGTGTGTCAGGTTGTGTGTTTGTACCTCCAGGTTGTGGATCTGCTCCTTCAGCAGCCTCTTCTCCTCCTGCTCGGTGTTCAGTGCCATCTCCAGCTCTGGTCCAAAGCAGTGAGTTATTGGACAGAGAGCAGCCGACCAGCCTAGCGCTGCCTGCTTAGCTACAATCTTCTCTACGCTCTTCTCTGACAGGCCTAAAGGGGGCGCCGCACACAGCAGGGGGGCAGTCTGTTAGGCCAGACACACACTACACGAGCTCCTGACTCTACACGGGGTCTGAGAGGTTCTCTCTGAGGGGAGGGGGGGGGGAGATCAGGTATTTTCTGATCGAGCTGCAAAGTTAAATGATGACGATGTTTTTAATGGTGCGTTCACTGACACTGTGTTTATCTGACCTCTGCTATGTTCAACTTTCGGATCAGTTCATACAATTTGTACTTTTAAAAAGAAAACAATTTTACGATGACGGACATTTTAAAGACACATTAAAGACAGCTGCCAAAGGTGAAGCCAATGCATCTTGATCGCCCCCTGATGGCTGCAGATGGGACATGGACCAAACCAAAACAATCAAAGTAAAAACATCATCATCCATCAAATCTTAAACTGCAGAAATATTTTTGGGGGAATTTACATTTGTAAACTAGTTTTTGCAGCTTTGCCAGAAAACAAGTGACTCGTGCATTAGGGTGTAAATCCTCATTGCCTTCATTTGCTAACCTTCATTAGCATCAGCCTGTAGTGTGTGTCTGCCCTGAGCCGGCTAGCTGCTCTACGCTTGAATCAACACAAGCTGCGGCTTCACTGTAAATCCTCAAATAAAAACAAGTTGCTAAAACTGAAAGAAAGAAGGTCCGATAATAAAAAAAACATTTCGGAGAAGTGGAATCAGCTGCAGTTAAAGACGAGGAAAAGGGTCAGAGGTCAGAATCTGAGAATTTATGGAGACAATCACCTTTAAGGGCCACTGGTGTCTTCACGTCCTTTCACATTATTATAATAAATTATTATTATTATTATGAACTTGTTTTCAAAATCATCTGTAAGAAGATATAGAAAAACACCAGAATGATCCTTTAAGTTGATGTCAAATTTAATTCTCTCAAAGCCACAACAACTATAAAGGTTTTCACTTATTCAAGTGGATAAATCATTCAACCCATTAAGACCTGATGCAACATATGTTTATACAAGACCACGTGGGACGTCTGCGTTTGAGACGTTTTTATAAAGACTGGTAATTCTGTCAGGTGTCAAGAAAACCCTCAGGTTTTAAGTGGTCGTTTTCAAACAATGTTTAGGGTCAAGAGTGTGTTATCATTCAGCGCCTCAGGTCCTAACAGGTTAAATATAATAAAATAAGCAGCAATATTCAGTTAAGTATTTTTAAATAAATCTGAACAGAGAGCTTATTGAAAGCTTGAAGAGAATAAAGTCACGTCAGCACAAAGCAAAGCTCATAGTTACTTACAGGACTTCATGTGACATCCAGATGTTTTACTGCTCTGTGGCGTTTCTCACGGTTACATGTTAAATCTTCAGACTTTCACTTTTATATAAGAAGAATTTAAAGTAAAATAAAATATGTCTTTCATCAGAGCAGAGATTCACTGGATGTCGCACGAAAAAAGAAGAGTTTTTATTTTGTCCAAAATCAAAATAAAGAGACTCACCATGGAGCTGTTTCTCTGTTTGCTGCATCTGAGCCTCTGTCTGCAAACACAAGACCAGGAAATACAAGTGACTGAAACTTTTAAATTCAGTTTTATTCAAATTTGAGAAATAAAATATGCTTTTATGTTGTTTTTTTACAACTGCAGGATAAAAAACTCATAAGGAAACTGTCAATCACCTGTTCCAGTCTCTCATTGGTTCCCTCTGCTCCTGGCTCCTCCCCCCTCCCTGTGACATCAGAGACGCCGTTGGCGCCGGCTGACCCGTCCGTCTCCAACGTAGCGTTTTGGTTGCCCTGTCTCTGTGGCAGCTCTTTGTCATAGCGCTCCTGGAGGGCTGGAGGGGAATCACATGTCAGTATCACACCATAATGCACATGCGCGAAACATCTGGATCGCCCCCTGGTGGCTGGCCACAGTATAGGTCACTGACTGATGACACAACTGAGCTTTGTATGTTAAAGTATGTGAGACGATGGACTCGTGTAGTTAATGATAATAAGGAGAGAATCCTGCTGGGTGCAAACACACACCTTTCATTTTCTTCTGGAGGGCGGAGTTTTCAGCCTGGAGGCGGAGCAGTTCTCCATCAACAGGACTGGAGGCGGGGTTTGGAGGAGCAGGGTTTGCAGAGGCTCCTCCTCCCTCCTTCAGCTCCTTGTTCTCCTGTTCCAGCTGTTCAATCTGTGTACACAGCTGGAGGAAAAATAATTACGTTAAACTTATTGACCTGCAACTATCAGGAAAGGACGGACAAACAGGTTGTGGGTCCAACGGCCTTCACCCTTCTACCAAAGCATTTTCCAACCGTCTCATTTACTCCCATCATCTTTTGGTCTGTCTGCTATGTCCACTTAATGAAGACATAAAACCATAAGAGTCGGGGGGTTTACCTTGGAGAGTTCAGTCATCAACGTGCTGTTCTGGAGTCTGAAATCTTCCTCCTGACTGTGAAGTTTCCCTTGAAGCATCTCGTTCTCGCTCAGCAGAGCTTCCACCTCCTGCAGGAAAACCGACGTCGTGTGTGAGTGAAGAACTTCAGGTTTGAACCAGTTAACAGTGACACACTGATTCTACTGGACTCTGGTCATTAACTACAGGTACAGAGGCGGCAGCAGAAATCCGTGAGTGGACGTGGAGAAGAATAAAACCTTGCACCTCAAACATCTAAATGTTTAAAATAATTTTATACAAATGTATTATTATAATGTCACTGATCAGCATAAACTTAAGGTAACCATGGTAACCAGACAAGGAAGACTCACCTGAGCTTTCTTGCTCTTATTCAGAGCCTGAAAAAAAAAATGACACAAAATGTAAATTAACGAGGGAAAATAAAATATTCTAGGGTCTAAACTTCACATTCAAGTGAAATAAAAAATCTACATCAGCATCACAGGAAAATGTATACTATATATAAAATGTTTGTTACCTTCTGTGCTTTGACAAAATCTCTTTCCAGAACAACATTCTTCTGACGGACTGCGTTCAGCTCTGAAACACACATCAGCAACATGAGAAGAACTGAGGACGAACGTTTTAACGAACTCAAGGGAATTCAAAATTGGAGATACTCAAAACAACCAAGATAAATAAAAGTGAGAAATTAAATTAATTTTAATTTAGTGAAGATGTGAATTAGATGCATATATGAAAACAGATGCAGTTATTCTTTTGTGGACAGTGGGCCCAATTCACCAACTGTTCTTAGAAACCTGCACACACTGAGGAGCACTCTTACGCACACTTGGCAACGGAAATGCTTGTGTAAAATAATCAGTTATGGAGTTTGGTACTTTTGATTCTACAGTTGTATAATAAGATTTAAATTACGATGACATTTTATCATTTTTATCTTTAAAGAAATCAGGTGCAGATTTAAGTAAATAAGTATATAACATTCTAAATAAACTCTGGAATAGTGTTGTCTCTTTGAAAAGACTAATTCATTTGATGAAATAAGAAACTCACTCCAACTTTTTTTTAAGGAAACAATAAATTGTTTTATTTCTCTTCTCCACACACAGACTCTAATAAACCACTTTAAAATCTGATCTCAGGTCAGTGCATTAGTTCAAGTCATGGATTCACACAATTCTGGTTGGAACAGAATTCACAGTCATGTTCCTCTTTCTACTGTAAAATGTTGTAACGTCCTCATTTCGTGTTCCTGTGGCGTAAACTGTGGTTTTATCATTTAGAAAGGAAACAGAATCAAGTGTTAAATTCACTGCAGAACCATAAAAAAATCCTACATACTATAATTCATTTCAACCTTTTCTTTTCTTTTCTATTACCCTCATATTTCTTTACTATCATGAACAGTATCTTTCTAATATCTTAATTCTATTTTTATCGATTTACAACTGATGGATGATATAAAAATGTATATAGTGTTAATACAATGTCTTAACCTGCTCTGTGTTCTTTTATTCCCCTTTGGATATAAATAAAGTCAACTAACCACCTCTATCTATAAAATCGTCCTTTTGACTTAAGCTTTTAAAGATTTGATTGTGTTATTGTCTGAAAATGTTCTGTTTGAACTAAATTTACTCTGTCGAGCAATTTGAGCAGCATTTGATGCTATGAAAGATTCAAGTTATTTTATTATCTATTAATATTATTATCAAATAGAACAGAAATAAAACACAGATGAATCGTCCTGTAGGTGGTGCTATAACTGATAAAACTGTTCATCTTCGTCAGAAATCAGAGACGTATTTTACCTGTGGTGTTCTTCCTGAGATCATCAGACAGCTGATAGTTCTGAGTCCGCAGCTCCAACAGCTGAGCCTGCACACACACACACGCACACACACACACACGCGCAAACACAAGTTATATCATCATCACTCTACCACATGTTTAATGACCTTTCTTTTCGCTGCAGTGTGGTTTTTAATGTGAGCTGCTGAGACGAACATGAGGACATGATTCTTGTTGTTCTGGGTTTGTTCCCTCATGGTTGATGCACTTACTGTAATCAGCTAAATGAAATGTAACGTAAAGAACAGAGTCAATGTTCATGATTAGTATCAGGACTCATCCAGGTAAATACAGTATAATGTGTGTGTTCAAGAGTGGAGCTGAACTGTAGATCAGTTTAAAAGACAGATGTTATTAGGAACCAGAGTTTATCTCCAATGTTCAGTGGGAAACTATGAACATGTGAAGAATTCTGAACAGAGTTCGGTGGATTTGTTACAGCAGCAGCTCCTCTGGTTCAGGAAGCAGAGGATCATGGGTAATATTTCAGTTCAGTGAGTCGGACAACACAGTCAGAGCTCAACACATTGATAGACTTCTGTTTTTTCCTCCACGTGAAAACCACCTCATCACTGGGACACACCGCTCAACAGAATTAATCAGCAGACGAGGCTGCAGGGGGCGCTGTTGCTCAGTAGAAGTTACATAGTGTTGCTTTAAACTCAAGAGTACGTAGCAACATTTGCTCTTCACCTCAGATACAAGCAGCTTCACTGGCTGTAAATACTGGAGCTTAAACAACATCTGCCAAGTTGGAAACATCTCGGAGGTGAACCCATAACAACCTGCAGCCTCTACAACAACCTGCAGCCTCCACAGTGACACTACAACAACCTGCAGCCT